AGAAGGAAGAGCTTCCTGGCCTCGGCCTCCTGCCTGGGCGCTGCGGGGTTGCGAACACTGCACGGCTCTGGATAGAGAGAGAAATTACTTACGTGTATGGTAGCCCATCGGATTTTTCAATGAAAAGCGTTCGTATTTTTTCAGAGGTGAATAACGTATTTTAGCGTAGCCTATATTCTATCCTTATAAAGTTTTTATGCCGAATCTGAGCTAATTAATGACTCGCCTTCTCTACAGTATGAAAATTAAAAGTAAAATACTATTGCTTTCTAGTGAATTCGTTTTTGCAAGCAAGGGGAAGAAGATGCTTGTCTACACTATGGAGACAGATGTTACGCTTCTTGCTCAACATGGAGGGAAGCTTCTATCCTGTCAATTCTGTGTACTAGTATGCTTCTTACCTTGGTGAAGAACTTGATTATTGCTGTGAAGAGGCTAAGAAAAGACACATCAGAAAGGAAAGACTCCAGACTCAATCTTTACAAAGACATTCAAATTAAAATCTGATAATTTTCACTTTCTCCTTTCTTTCTTGCCAAAAATATCTTGGATTTATCTGAAGAACTAGATGTTATCCTTGGAAGTCAAGATAAAATGGCTTGAAAGGTTCTCAAAAGATTGTGGCAGAGTATGTATTTTAAAAAATATTAAAAAATTGAGTAAGCAGCCTGAATAGCTGTGAGTAGTTGTTAGTAATTGGGTTTTAGGTGAAAATGAGGACAGTGAAAATGTCACCTGTAGTGGAAGGAGGACATTCTCTTGCTACCCTTATGTTTACCAAACATGTGCAATAAAATCACCTAATCAAAGTGAGTACTACTTCAAGGTAGTAGCTTAACTGCTCTAAAACAGCCAGAGTCATTATACTCTTCTAGAATGAAATGCTGTTTATGCAGATGCAAGGAAAGATTACTTTTTCTTTTATTTTTTTGCATGTAATGCTTTGTAGTGCCTATTTTGAAATGAAGAATTCCATAACTCAGCGGTGAACAGATGGCTTTGTTTTGGTGCTCAGAGCAGAGCTCATACCCAGAGAACTGCAGATATGGCACTTGATTTAAAAATCACATATTTGCCCTTAGGGTAGAAGGTAAAAGATAAGTAGTAGTATGACTCTGTTCAAATAAACTTTACAGATTTATTTATTAATTAATCCTTTATTAATTTGTCCCTTTTTTTCTTATCCAAACAAAATCTTGTGGGCCTCTTCCTTGTGTTTCTTTCTATCCAATCTCTTTTGTAACAAAGATGATCTCTGTAGTCCTGTTTCCTTTTGTGATCACTTCTCTGAATGAATTCCATGCAAAATTATTGTATCTATACCTAATGGCTCCTATTTGCTCTCCAGAATATATAACCAAGTGATTTCTTTCCATTTTAGATAGATATCTAAAAAAAGGCTGGATAGAAAAGGGAGAAAATATGTAGTTTTATCTGCCAATAGCTAGGTTTCACAAGCAGTGCAGATGTAACAGCTTTTTGCCACTGAAAAGAGGAAGGTCTCACTACTGTTTGCCCTGCCTGTCTCTTTTGCTGTGTCGGGTGTTTAGATCCTTCTACAAGCCTGCTACTGTTTGCCCTGCCTGTCTCTTTTGCCGTGTCGGGTGTTTAGATCCTTCTACAAGCCAGCTCATTTCATTAACACAGCAGAAATCTTGCAAAAGTACTTCTTGTTGTTGTTAACTTTCTGTTATGGTAGTTCGCTAAATTAGCTTATAGCGCATTCTGAGTGTTAGAGCTGTGTCTGAGGAAGGTGTTGGGAGTATAAGGGCTTGAATGGAAAGCTATGGAAGTCCCTCTTTGGTGATGGTGAATGTTTAAGTTAGTTCTTGAGGAACTGTAACCTTGAAGTTCGTTCTTACATTTTGTCCAAGAATCAGTTTGATTTTGATTGCTGTTTGGAGTAATTCGACTTCTAAGTGATGTTTGCTTTTTGAAATAATTCCAAATGATAGCAGAGCCTTTAAGTATGAGATGAACAGTAATGGCTTCATATCTTTGGTTTAATTCTTTCTTTTTTATTTCGATGTCTTTCTGTGGCCAAAGATTCTGCAGCTGCATACATGCCTGTTCAAATACTATGTATAGGCAAAATCCTGTAAAAATCTGCAAGGCATGAATATTTAGATTTAGTGATAGTAATATTTCTGAACTCAGTTCTTTTATCAACATGTAATTCTGTTGACTAGTAGTGATATCTGTAAAGAGTTAAGTACATATCCTTTCATGAAAGTTCATTCTGAGAACTATGATTTCTTCACTACTTATGTATTGTGATGTCTAGAATCTTAATGTGTTTTTGTTGTGAAGAGATTATTAAATAGAGTACTCAAACTATATTATACAAAAAATGTGGTTTTAACTTTTAGTATTTTCAATTTGCTTGTAGGCAGAAGCCAGGCTTGCAGCCAAACGGGCAGCTCGAGCAGAAGCAAGAGATATACGTATGAGAGAGCTGGAGCGACAGCAAAAAGAGGTAGTGTAAATCATCAGGAATTACTACAAATCTTTACTAAAATTCTTAATGTGTTTTATTTCTGTACTTGCATCAGATTTTGTCTTCTGCTGTAATTCAGCTGCGTGCTAGTATGTTCAGCATCAGGCAACTGTTAGCTTCTGTCCTTTTCCCTGTACCCTCCTCTTTCCCCTTAGGTTATATATCTAAAAGGATAACTTGCTTTATATTTACCTGTGGATAGCACTTCACAAAACAGAAATACAAACATTCATTTTGAGCTTCCTTAATAGTGACACTCATATTGTGGAAAAAATCTGCTATACAAAATAGGCAATTAGCACTCTTGCTTTCAAATGAAAAATAGAACATTTTTAATGTGATTTTAAATTCTAGCTTTACAGGCGAAATCAGATACTTGGATGTTTTACCTTTAACAAATGCAGTAAATTCAATGGTAGCAATTAAAATTGGACAAAGTTTAATCTAAATGTTTATTTTTAGATATTTAAAGGGCTTGAAGCTTTCTTATTACTGCTTATTTGATTTTAAATAAGCAGAAGAGAGAACATAATGACAGTGTCCAAAACTCAGGCTTGCATGAAAAATTTTGCATAGAGAGGAAGAGTTTTCAACTTCTAATGTGAAGTTTAATATTGTCTGGATTTGAATTATCAGTTTTGTGCTTTTATAAGAACAATTACTTAACAGGTGGCAGTTTCTTTGCTTGTTGTTGCTGTGCAAAAGGTCCATGTAAATATGGATAACTAGCAGGACAGCATAAATAATAAACATGACCGTACCCAAAATATATGCTGCCTGATGTATAGGTTAAACAACTATGAAAAAGTAGAGAGAATTCTTTTACTCTATTTTTAATGTATTTATAATATACTTAATAACTGGATAATTTGGATATGTAACTTTGGATATACAGTTTTCAGTCAATCTCTTCCCATATGAATTATACCCAAAGTATTCATAATAAATACCTATTGTCAGGATGTTTATTTAAAAAAATCAACTGAATTGGGATAATATTTACACATATGGTTGTGTGTTGCTCCACACATTTCTCCTGAAAGAACAGTTTGTATTTCTTGAGCAAAAAACCCTAGGAACTAGATTTTTAACAGTCTGGTTATTTCGTAGTTATCACATCCGATTCACGTTTTGACATAGCATGCAGAAGATTGAGAGTTTATTATTTATCATGATTATGTTCAAATCCTTGTAAGTGCTGATCTTTGGGGGGTTTTTTGCTGTAGTAATAACAAGCGCAATTTACAAAACATGGTTTTCCCTTAATTATATATGATTCTTGTTATTCCATTCTTTCAGTTTTCTAACTGCTGTAGGTATCTAATATTATACTGAAGATTACATGGTAATCAACTTAGATTTTTTTTCCCAAATTTTTTTATTTAGGAATCCAGTCTTGTGTAGTGACTGATCTGTATTGTAAATGGTTTGTTTGTTTTTGTTTTTGCATTCTGTAGCTTTCTCAGCATTCATATGATAGAAAATGGGCTCATATCCAGAAATGGATGGTAGGCTAAAACCACCTGTTGTGCATGTTTTTGCCCCTCAGAGAACTAACACAGGATTTGGAGGAAGTAATTTACTAATGGTTTGCTGTGTGTCATTTCAAAGCGTTTTATTACTGAAAACAATCATATATAAACTATATATGGGTGTTGGATATTCAAGGTACTTTATGGAAGCAAGAGACAAACTATGAAATGTTTTCATTTTCTTAAAATGAAATGTTTTTCGTTTCCACCATGTGCTGGCTTAAAGTTGTGAATCTATTTAAAATGAAAGTACATTACTTTCAATCTAGGTAAACATCTTTTCAATAGTAACTGGTTTTATTTCAGTTAACTTCTGGGGTTTAGGTGTTTTACTTTTTTTTTTTTTTCCTTAGCAGACTTAAATTTATTTGTGTCCTCTTTGAGTAATGTGACAAATGCTAGTCTTTTCACTGATGATTAATTCACTTCTATAACTTAAAAAAATTAAATGTAAAAGATTAAAAAAAACCTCTGCAAACAAAACAAAAACCCTTCAAACACCAAAAAAACCACACCATGCATCACTTGCATCATTTTACCCCTTGCCCCTTACTCTGAGAAAACTGCTGTTCAATTTATACTAATTTAGTGCAGTGTTTCTTTAGGGAGTTTCTTTCACAAACTTCATGTGCCTCTTAAAAAGGCACATGGGAGATTGGAGTTTATGTTTTTAGGGAAGTGTTCACTGTGTGAATGTTTTGAATCAAGAAGATTTAAGTAGTACATGCGGAGACCAACCATAATTTCAAATAGTTAAAACCACTGTGACAGTTAACCGGCACAGCTGTTGAGAAATCCTAGAATTGTCATTAGAATTTTATTTGCATAAGTTGTGCTGACTTTATGTTGTCACTCTGCCTAGCTGACATTTTTGTGTATATATATTGGTTCTTGTGTCACTTATAAAGAACGACATAGGTTTCTGTTATTTCTTGGTGGAATGCACATTTGAATGCTTTTTTGCTGGAGACCAAGGGTTTCCAAACTGTGGAGCACAGATTGCATTTGTGAGCAATTTCACTTCGAAATTAATGCCACCCAATTGAATGCCACCTTCTTTTTGCACTTGTAAGAGGCACATCTGTTGCAGGAGGTTTCTGAGCAGATGTGCACTCCTTTCCAGGATCGGGAGACCTAACCTCTGTCTTAGATAAAGTGCATATTTCAAACTTAAGTTCTTAGAAATCAAGCTTGATAGCTACCAACAGCAGCTATCTGTTTGCAGTGTGTACTGTAGTATTTAACTTATCCTTTGGCCTGAATATGCTGGACACTTAACACTGGCTTTCTATTTTCTGATTGCACGTCAAGAAGAGACTTGTTATCCTAAGTAAATTACCTACAGAAACGTACAGAAAATTGTATCGGAAGTTTTGCATTATAGGAGCATATTATTAGCTGGGGCATTATACCAGCAATTAAGGGGAATCTTATATAAATAGCAAACTGTCTGCTTGCAAGCTGCAAATGTTATTAATAGGTATTTGTCCATTTAGATCACAGACACAAAGTATGGTAAAAATTGGCAGTGATCTGACTGTAATGTGTGGAAAAGTTATATAGCATAAATGTTCGTTTTAAACCTCAAAGTAGAGACTATAGAAAGGAAGACTAAAATGTCATTATGAAATTAACATCTTCCCCCCACTTTGGGAAATTATTTTCTTGCAGAGTATTAACTAGGCCTCTTGAATTGTGACAAAATAGTATTAAACAAATTAGTGTAGCCAGTGATAATGTAGAAAATAACCACATGACCATAAGCAGTATGAAAGGCAGCTTTAGACTTTAGATATCCATCTATGATCTGGAGGCTGAGCTTTTAACTCTAAAGATAACTGGCTTACAATCTTTAGAATAGCTTGACGTATTGAAAACTGTAGGAAGTACGTCATTTAAGGAAGGATTCCTAGTTTTAAATCTCTGTTGTAACCTTCAAATGGGATAGTATAAAATTATTCCTAACATGCTTACCTACAGTAACTAAAAATTTGAGAAGCTTATGGCATGTGAAACGTTTTAATGTTTAATTTTAAATTAGTTGTATTTCGTCCTCCTGCTTCTCACATACTCGTTTGTGTGAGCCAAAATGAACGTTCTCTGATCTTTCAACAGAGCAAAAGACATTAAAGTGCCTTCGCTAGTTGTCCTCCCCCAAATTTTATAAGTTGGGTTTATTATTTTCACTGTCATTGTAGAGCAGAACTACCTACAGAACTTAGAATTGATTAATTTGCTTAAGAAGATTTGTTCCTATAATAGAGGAGAAAATCTGAAATATGTATGAGGAAACTGAGAATGATTGTCTCTATTAGGGCGAAAATAATTTTGTAAAATGATCACAATCTGACTATAGTAATTATATAGTAAATTTCTTACTAATGTGCTTGTAACTTTGTAAAGCTCTAAATTTTTTTGGTTTTACTTTAATTTCTTAATTTAAAAAACTTTGTACTTTATTCTGCATTAATACACTAATCAGAAGAAAGATTGACTACTGAACACTATATATTAATTTTATTAACCCCCCTTGTTTACATCTAATGTAGTGTGTTGGCTTACTTACCCAAATTAGGTGAAGTCACAGCTCTTCGGGCTTGAATGAGTTCACTTATCTCGATGGATTATTAAAAATAATACATAGAATTAAAAATGCTAACAGCACGTTGCTCACCTTTGCTTGGTTTTACTTTGTCATCTTCTCCGCCCACCCCACCCCCCCTACCTCTCCCTTCTGTGAAATAACTTTGCATTTCTTCTTTCTCAGGAAGATTCAGAGCGGGCCAGGTATTCTCACCGGGCCAATCGACATTCATATTTGGTTTGTGTTCCAACTGTATACTTTTCCTTTTCCATCATGGCCTTTAAAAAAAAAAATAAAATAAGTTGGGGTTTTGGTTTAATTTTCTTAGGGAGGAGATGATGCTTTAAGTCTTCCAAGTATTAGCAGTTTTAAAGTCTGTGTTTTAAGTAACATATAATGTTAAATTTCACCTGGTATTTTATTTCCATCAATGTTAACAAGGTAGTTTATGTATTTCAATCTTTGCATTTGAAAAGAATCTCAATTGTTACATTTTAATTATTTGGCTATGTTTTTACTATAAATACCTTGTGCTTTTTGTCCTTTTCTACATATATTTATTTACAGTATATTTTCATTGCTAAAAATAATTGAATAGGTGTTTGGAAACTGGTAACATACATAGTTCAACAATCAATTTTTTGGAATACCATATATTTAATGACAAGTGTCATCTTTTAGTGTTACTCCAGTCTAATATAATTTATTTCTTTTTTAAAAAGTTGATTAACTGGACTGACTTAGACTTTGGATATTGGCAACTAGCGAGAATTAATTGGCTTGTCTTGAAATGGTAGAGTATTAAGATTCCTACATACATTGTCAATCGTCTTTATGATAACTACTACACATCAAATCTCATGGTCAGATGTGAAAGTGCTATTAATTGTGAAACACTGGTCTAGTTCAGATAAGTTTAATGGGAAAAAAAATCTCTTTCTGATTTTCCCTATCTGTCTCAGAAATTCTGCCAACAGGCAAATTTTATTTAATAAAGTAAATACTACTGCTGACTTGGAGTCATCCTGAATCAATGCCACTTACTGAAGATGAGTAATACTGATTTGTAACTTAGGCTTTCATTCCAAACCGGTGTTGATTTTTGTCTACTCACTGTTGTGTCTTTTCTTGCACTTGTAAGTATTGTATTTCTATAGTATTTGTGGAAGAAAAAGTAGTAGTACCTTAGGATACAATTTAAAGAAGAGTTTGGTATGATGCAAGGTTTTATTTCCGCAAGAATGTGGGGGTATATTACTTGTTCATGGCAAAGACATGGACGATGCAAGGTATCCCAAAAACTGCTAATAGAAGTATTTATTGTGTAGGCTCTCCTATAGCCTCTTTAGACCTTGTATGATGCTAAAGAATGGTTTTATTGAGGGTTCATAAACATTTTCCTGTTTTCAGTATATCTGCCTAGAAATCAGCCTGTCATTGATCTGGATATATAGGTCAGGAGAGGGACAAATTACTGAAATAAGTGTTGGGTTGGTTTATTTTGGAAGGTCGAATAAACTGTTTCTTTGTGTGACTTCAAAAAAAAAAAGTACTTGTCACTTACTTAGAGTTTTTAGCAATTAAATGTAATCTTTGAACTGAATTTTGTGTAATGTCTTGCAAGTCCTGGTGTTAAGTGTTTCTGCAATTTATCGCACAGATAATTTTACCAAATAAATCGTTTAAATCAGGTACTGTTGACTACTTTGCAAATAGTAAATCGTTTACAGAATGAACATGTAAAATATGCTATGTGGCAATACTTAAAATTGTGGGCTGGTAGAGTTTTGCTCAGATCTGCTCTTGCCTTGGTTAACATACAAAATATGCTAAGACTGAGATTAAGTAATTTACCCTTGACTAAAGAACAGGGCTTGAACTCAGCAGATAACTGAGCTCAGTTTTGAGGGGCTTACCCAGAATTTTTTTTGACTGCCTTGGTTATTTTGTGCCTTTCAGTGAAGATTTAACAGTTATCATTAGAGCTTTTAACAATTATTTTATATATTGATATATTTTTATAATTTCATTCTTAAAGAGTTCTTTGGATGTCAGTGGGTCTCACAGAAGCAGAGCAAGTACCTCCAGAAGGAGAGATCTTGTGGTGTGTAGCCTGGAATGAGCATGCTTTGATGTGTTCACATTATAACGTTTTCTGTGTCTACTTACCAAAGCAGTAGTTTGGTGAAAGCATGCTTCTTTATAGAAAATGGTATTAATTGAACTGCTGCAATGATGGATGTAATCAAACACTTTGTGATAGCAAGTTTGAGAGCTCAAAGAAAGTGTTAAGGGTTCTGTCTTGAAGGTAACTTCAAGTCTGAAGAGAATTAATCTCTCCAGTCTCTCTCTTGTAATGTCTGTCAAAAGAAAGAAGTAAAATAAAGTGGCACAGGTTGTGCATCAGCCTTGATAGGTACAAAGATGTTGCTAAAAGTTATGGCAGGAAGCCCTTTTCTCCTCAGTTACGTTGCAATGTTAGTCCTGCGGTCAAGGCTGGAATTCAAACAAATACTACTTTGTCAGAAATGGGTATTTCTGTATATTTTGTGGTATTTCTACTTTAGGCAACTTAAATATTTGTTAGTAAACTGTTAAGCTGTTAATAACTAAGATAGAAGTTAAGTGTTCTGATGATAGAGATTATCTGAGTGATCTGTCTCCATTCTTTGATAGCACAGTTGCTTATCAGTAGGTAATAATTAAAGATAAAAACTGTTTTAAAAAAAATAAATGGTTAAGTTGGTTAAAACTGGTACAGGGTCCTATGGATCCTGTATGGTAATACTTTTAGCAACAGAAAAAGGTATTGTAGTCTGTAAATTACATTAATAATATTAAATTATTAATAGTATGAATATTGGACATGTTGGAACTATTGAGATAATATGAAAACAATATGAGATAAGATGGACTAAACCTGGCCTGTATTAATTTATAAAGAAGTATAAAATCTAAAACCAGGGAATTTTTGGTGTTAATTTGATATCTAGAAGGAATTTTCAGATGTATCAGTAGACAAAAATGAATTATTTTTCTTGTAGTCCTCTCAGTAGTTCTCACATTGAAAATGACGCTGGGTAATATTCTAGCATGCTATTAGTATATCCTCATGTTCTCAGACTACCTTCAATTTCTGTTTTGTTTTGTGTTTTAAGAAAGTTTAGGATGATACTAAGTAACATTTTGGATTGTGCATTACCTACAGTCAGAATAGCTAGGTTACACCTGTGAAACTTTAAATTAACTGGAAAAAACCAAGCTTGCTTTGAAAATTTAAGATTTGTATGTTTTTTTAAAAAAAAAAGAAAAGAATGTATAAACTCCACAAATGTTGCCATTGTTGAGTGACAAGAAACATGGGGACACTGGCTCAGGTATAATTCCAAGGCTGTTTTCATACATTTTGTTAAGAGTTGCCAAATCTGGTAGACCAGCGGTCTCTTTACACATAGGTGGCCCTGTCATCCCACTATTCCTCCTCTTTCACACACTTGTTCCTTCTGAAAACACCTTTATCCCTCCCTTTCCCCTTTGATTCCTCTCCTGATCGCAAGATGCTGTTCCCCTGCATCCCCTAATGTCTTCCATGCCCTGTAGGCTGTACCCTCCCTCAGTCTGTAAGGTGCCCTGGGGGCCCCCCACATCGTGATGGGTTTCACACCTTGGCAGCGGGGCTGACTGGTCCTCTGGGCTCCTTTGCCTGCGTGGAGATGAGCCTTTTATCACGAAACCTAACAAGTACTCTCTCAGTTAAATACAATGTACCGTACAAGACTTTGCTTAATTATTTAAAATTCTGCTGTCCAAAATTATCTCACTTTTCAGAAATTGGGATGCTGTTCAGGGAAAAAAGTGTTCCAGCCTCAGAATGTCCTTTAGATTGGATAAATGGCATTCCTTCACATAGAAATTTTCATAATTAATAGAAGATGTTTTCCTGTAATTGAAGTCTTTTTAGTCATTCTTTGAATAAAGCTAATTTTTTTTTTAACTTCATGATTTTAATTTCATTTTCTTTTTCTTCAGTATGACAGTGCTCAGGATAGGTCTGCAAGATACTCGGTCCCTGTATGTTATCACTTTGCATGTCTTTGGGTGAAAACTGCTTTTGTGTTCTGTTTTTAAGGTGTAATGACACTAACTAGCTACTTTGAGTTACCAATTTTGAAAAGTATATGAGTTTGTACTATCACACTTTCAGACCTAGAATAGCGGTGTGATTCTAACACTTTCCATAGAATGCATGCCTAAACTTTTTCTGGAAGAAAAATCTGATGAAGTCACGTATTAGAGACAGCTATCTTACAGTCAGCACGTTTTAGTATTTATCTGTTATTTCTAAACTTTGTAGTGAAGTGACACATACACACTAGACTTGGGGGATGTACTTTTTGAGGATGTACTTTTTAAAAAGTAGAAGTGTGTGTATGCATAAATTTGTATTCTCTGTTTCTGTATAGAGACTTTAGCTTATCTAATGAAAAATTATTTCAGTCCTGAGAAAAAGCAGATGGTTTGTATACATTTACTTTAAAAAATTCTCTCTTATTGTTATGAAGTGATAGTAGAGGGCATTGCATTCTCATTGGTACTACGCCAGGTAAGATTTGTGTGTGTCTCCTTAAGCAAAGACAAGCACCAAGTAACACTAAAAAGAATACGTAAGCAGCTTAAAAAGCTGAATTTGTTTAAACAGCAGTGTTATCTGAATTAGCTACAGATAGCACTATATATGGTGCTTAAAATAGTCTGTAATGCTGAGCTTTTTTACTTTATTGGTTTTACATTTTTTTGGTGAAATGTGAACACTGGCTTAAGCCAAGTCTGTGTTAATCAGAGATAAGGTTGGTTATAATTTCACTTTTCAGTTCTTTTTTACACAGTACACAGAAGTATGGCCTATTATTCTAATCGTGTAGTGAGAATTTTCTGTGGTGTTTCTGTTGTAGGGGATAACAATCTTAAATCTTTATGTTTGACTTCTTTATAATAAGATGCTGTTATATAGTGGTATTAATTTTCTAAATTTTATTCTTAGAGCCATGCTTACAGTGAATCTCGTAGTTCAAAGAAGAAAGCTGCTTATTCCCATAAAGATTTATTGGTTAGTTTTCTACTGTAATATTTATTATAAATATATTAACTGTGTAGAGTTACGTATCAATACAGTTATGGGTAAATTTATTAGCTTACTGACATATGCATAAATGTTTTCAGGAAAATATAAACCTCTAGTGTTTGAAACTGTGCTCATGGCAGTGGAGTCCCATGGCTGGAATCGGCTGAATAGAAATCACGTTCTGTTGGGGAAGGCTCTTGGGACTATTTAAAAGTGGCACTTCTCTGGATTAAAGTTTATTCAGTCAGGATGGAGATACGTGTTCTATTATTTACACTTTGTCCCTTATGAGTTAGAGATATTTTAGATGTAGGTGTAAAGCAGATTGAATTTACCGTAAACCTTGACGTTAACCCAGTGAACTGTTGAGAAAGGCATGTGGATTATCGTCATCCTCCAAAAACTATTCTAGAAAGTTCAGTGTGTAACATGTGAATATAGTGCCAAGAAATTAAATGTTTTGGATGTAATTTTTCAGAGAGTTTTGGCACTGATGAAATAGCAGTTGCCTCAGGGGTTGGGGGAGTCAGAGCAACAGTGGATGCCTGTGTTTAGACAAGGCTGAAATAACTTTTGTATTTACTTAGGATTATTTGTGTTACAGCATTTCTCTGTGCACTTTTGAGGTACTGTTTTCCTGTCCCCTGGGTTTTTAAATGACTCGCACGAATTTTTCTGCCTCCTGTGGCCTATTGAGATACAAAGTGCTACATTCTGAAAGCACTTCTTTTTGTCATGTCTTCATGTCTTTGTTTTTCCTTTTTTATGTGTGTATATCAATTTTTCCTCGCATATGCGTATATATGCAATTTGTGTAGGAAGTGTCAAAAACCAACAGAAATGAACCAAAGTATAATTGCTAGGCTTTTAGCGTGCACGCTTGGTGTAAAGAACAGTGATGGGGTACAGACTAATGCTGATCACATAAACATCCATCCCCTATTAAATTCTTAGGAATTTCTGTTCTCTCTCCACAAATGCTCTGATTCAGGATGGTATCTAACAGGAAAAGATCAAGCAAATCATTGTACTATTTATTAGCAAGTTTTGTCAAATATGTTTTTCATGTATTTCATGCTGTACTTGTCAGGGTTTAGATGAACTTTTCAGGGTTTTCTTATTTATTAGGGAGAAATAAAACCCAAAACTATATACTAATATAGTTGGGCATGGCATTAAAAATACAGGTAATGCTGATATACAGAGGACCTAAGTAATTTTTAAGTTTTTTTTATACTTTCTTCAGAAATTTACATGGGTTTTGGGTCAACCGAAGGGAAAATTGTCACAGCGTTCTGTACAAGTTCTAAGCTTGGGAACATTTGGGCAATGTCGAGATAGAACTTTTATTTGCAACATCTACAGATGCAATCTTTGTTTTCTCTTGTCTTTTCTTTTTTTCCCCTCCACAGAGTGGAATTTACTATGATCGGAGAAATTATAGCAGCCTTAGATATAGTAAACCAGTTCCTTCCTACCATACTCGGGTCTGTCTCCTCTTCCTATATTATTTTTTTCATACATATATGTATTTGTGTTTGCTTACTTATGCTATATGAAGCAAACTTCTCTCTTTCCTTCTATAACACTGCAAATCATTACAGCTAATACTAGCTAGGATTGTATTTCTTGCTTTTAAGGGTTGCCTTTTGTAATATGAATGGATAACATGCAAGTTACTCTGGGGAGGGGGTTAAATTTAAAATAACTTCTGTTTCATGATTGCTATATGATATAAAGAAAGCAACTAGCAGCTGTGACACTTGCTTTTTCAAAGTCATATTTTTAAAAAACAACAACAAAAAGTCTTAAAATTTTAACACCAAGGTACTACTTTCTTTTACAGTAATGTACGTGATAAATCAATGGTCTGTCGTGAGATGGGCAGTATTTTCCAGTACCTGCTGCTACTGTCATGATCAGGTTTAAATAAGTAGCTAGAGGAAATCGATGTGTCTTTTGAAAACTACTTGAGTTCTTATTCTCTTCTGTAAATCTTCCGATAAAAATACTGGGTTGCTTTAACTATTGTTTTAGATTATGATTTCAAAGATAATGGGTTTTCTTGGAGTGTTTATCCACACTTTTTTTTTTAAGTTCCTGCCTAATAAAGAGGTAGAACTTAGTATTTCAATCTTTAAAACTTTTGGAGAATATAGAGCAGTAGATAAAAAAAATCTAATATATGCAGAAAAAATGTTTCTGACTTTTTCTATTCTTCACACTACAGTCATCTTCTCTATACAGTGATCCAGTGGCAACAACTAGGAGTTACAGGGTTAGTACAATGTAAAGTAGTATCTTGTTTATCTTAGATGTTTGAATAGCTCTCAGAAATATAAAATTACACTTTTCTTCATAGGTGTCTCCTTCTGTAAACACTGGTTTGATAAGAAGTATCAGTTTGGTTCGTAAGCACCATTTGCATGGTTGCCTTAAATTTGTATTGTATGGTCATGAGGCTTGACAGTATTACATGTGCATTTTTTTTCATATTTTTTAATAAAACTGCAGCTTGTGTGTGTCATTTTGTGGAGGCATTCAGTTTAATGTTTTTAACATTGTTAAATTGCCTCTTTAAAGTATTTTAGTGGAGTGTTTTGCTGATCTTTTTACAGACAAGCATAAAGTTTATGAATACAACAGTGATGTTGAAGAACACTGGGGTTAGAACAAGTTAATCCAAGCATACTAAATAAGAGCTGCATGTGTAATACTAAAAAAAGTAGTTAAAGAAGTTAAGCATTTAAATGGGAAAAATCATTGTCAGAAGGCTACAGAAATTTCTGGTAAATACACTTTAAATACTTTCAAATAAGATGCCATATTTAAATTTAATAATCATTCAAAAATGTAATAGGATGAAAACCTAATCTGCATCTTTATAAAATAAGAAGTAGCTAAAAGTGCCATAAGAATGGCTAAGATAGCTCTGCAAAAAGTTGTCATCTTTAAAAAGTGGCATGCATGCCTGAAACTTTATGCGTCTTGCTGCTTACAATAGTTGAAATCCAACTTAATACTGCCGTTTAGAGACATGCTAAACCTATGTAGAAAATCATCAAGTATTCTTATGTAATATTTTTATGTAGTTAGTGAGGTCTTGTTCTGCACTTGGATTGCAAACAAAGATAACTTACTTTTTTGGCTTTGTCCATATTCTTGTGTAAACTTTAGAAGATCCAGTGAGAGAACAAGATGATAATGACTGCTATTACATATAATTCTGATATACATATAATACTAATTTCTACTGGAGAGCTCTTCATACGTAGGGGGAAAGCAGCATGAGACTGTAATTTTTTTTTTAATTATGTTGCCCAGAGCTGCTTTTGTTATCCACTAAATAGATTTCAGCCCTGCATCTTGCAACCCTCTCCTTCAGGAAACCCTGCATGGGTAAGCACAAAGTAAAACTGATAAGAGTACAGTATAGCTTCAGTTCCCAGGGTGGATTAAAACTTTTGAAGGCTTCAGAACAGTGAAAACCAAATTGCAATTTAAATATTTAATTTAATTTTCTTCTGAAAATAGTTGCGATTTTTTATTTTTTTAAAACTATTTGGAGATTTTTCAAGGAAGTTTAGATTTATATTTGGAAATAGACATCCCTAATAGTAGGAGGAAATGCTGCTGGAAAGTTTTAAAAATTGTTTTGTCCTTTCAAAAAGTATAATGTTACCTGGAAAATGCATAGATGGGATAAGATAGAGTACATTACAGTGCGTAAGAATTACAGCGTGTAAGAGTTTGGCATAATTCTTTCTGAGGCTGAATATAAATGGTATTTCATTCCCTCTTTCTCAGGCATCATTGTGTGGTGATGGATTACGTAGCTCATATAGTTCTCGCACTGTAAGTGTAATAGGCTTTTGCTTGTTTCTTTCATGATCTTTGTTTTCTGGAGACAAAAAGATCTATGAAAATTGTGAAAATTTCCTTCGTAACTTTTCTTCAGCCATCTGAATACAGTTACTCTTCAAGAGCAAGCTCAGTTCGGAGTAGTCCTGTGGTGAGCATTCCTCTTGCATGATTTGCTGAATGCTTTGATACTAATGCACAACAATTAGGAGTATTTAGACTGGGGATCATTTTACTGACCAGCACACAGACTCGATTTTTCAATTCCACATCAAAAAAATGTAATTTGTCAGAGATGTGATTTTTAGCAAGATGTAAAGTTTTAGCAGTAAGACAATACAGTCTAGAAGCCATAAGGAATCTGTCTTTCTAAACATTTTTTAAATGTTTGTATTGTATATGATTGGAAGCAATTGGAAACTGGAGTATAGTACATTGTTGGGGTTGCTACCTTATGTCATAGTTGGGGCAGGCGCATGAAACTGTTGCTGCAATATGTGTGAAAAAGTCTTTCTTTTGGGGAAGAGGACTAATACAAACTTTGTTATCATGCAGTAAGAGGTAACTCATTTTTATAGTGACCAGCGTTCAAAACTGAGAGAAATTTGTTCCTGGATCTGTATTGTATTAAAAGTGTCATTCCAAAGATCACTTTTCATGCTGCAAAGTAATTTTAAGTAGGTCTCCTTTGTTTCTGCTGCAGAACAACAGTTTCACTGGTACAGCTGCTCATTTGTCATGCTACACAAAAAAAATAGATCGGTGTTCTGGTATGGGTTAAATTGAAATTTTCGATCCTTTTTTCATTCTTCACATATTCTTAACATGTTATAGGGACCAAACAAATAAAACCAGGTTTGTCAGAAACTGGATGTTTTTTAGCTACAACAGATGCCAGAGTGAATTTTTGAGGGAGTAGCAAAAAGGGAATTTTGCTGTTGCTTTAGGAAGTTCCAAAACCTAAGAGGTATTACCATCCATCTGTAAAGTCTCTTGAAATGTTAAAATACTACTTATCTCCTTAGTTTCTCTTAATATTAAGATTAATTTCCTCAAAGTATATACTTTTTATGTATATAGGAATATATATATCAGATCTCAGTATGTATATGCTGTACCAATAGTGCCAAGGTACCATTCACTTTCACTAGTGTAAGTTTAATAGAGTTCAAAGTATTTGTTTAATGAAATAATTCTGAAAAGAAGATGAAGTAAAAATCTTATTTGTAACTTAGCTTTCACTTTCTACTGTTTCTATGGTTAATATTTTGGTTTCACTCTGGGTAGTGCACTGAAAGTCAGCTCAGTACTCACTGGAAATCGAAAGAGAAAGGAATGAAGGTGGAAACAGAGTAGAAAACACTGGTGAAAAACTGTATTGTGCATCTCCATCTTAAACAGTATCAGTTTTGATAAACTCATTGAGAAAGATATTACAAGTATAAAAGGTGTGGAAGGAGAACAGTAAGGTTTATCAGATGTACGGGCTTTTCCATACAGCAAAGATAAGTTGGTTTTGAATGAAGAGGACAGTGTTGTTTGTTCTTGTGCTGTAAGCATAATTCATATAAGCAGTATTCTGTTCAGCATCTTTATACTTTGTGAAATGCAAGTGAAATAAGAAAGTTTAGCCAAATTTCTGACTGTGAAAATTTATTTACTTTGTTATTTTACAAAAAATAAATCTACTATTTAAAATGTAGCTATAGATACAGATAGCTGGAAAATTCTTTGTCAGAGAAATAGAACATAAGCTATCAGGGACAAAAAGTACGAATTCTGTAGTCCTTAGCATGCATGATCTGAACAGGTGTTCATCAGCAAACTCTTTTATATGTAACTGGTCACATTTGCATAAAAGGCATCTCACTGTCTTTTAACCAGAATAAGAGGAGGCTACATTACTCATGTACATCAAGTAAAAAGAAATGAAGAATTATTTTTTTTAAATGGTGAAAATTGGATAAGGACAATATATTTTCAAACAGTTCATTTAAAGATTTTTTTTTTCTCTCATCACTTTTAAAACTAAATATAATGTTCACAGTAACTTTCTGCCGTTTGAAGTAGAATGTTATCAATACAACACTTTTGATAAACCTACTCGTCTCATTAAATACTATGTTTAACGTGCATAATGTTTTCTTAGTTAAATATTTCACTTGAATTCCCTTGGCAGTTGTAATTACTGTAATGTGGTTAGATAATGTTTTGCCTTTTTTACCAGTGATGTGTAGCATTAGCATTTTTTCCTCACTTTTATAGGTGCCTGTCTGACATACAGCTTTGGGGAATAAGCTTCTCTTCTATTGTAAGATCTTTTAAAATTGTGAATGAGAGGAAACCCAGATCATAATCATAATTAGTAGTGTTGGGATTGTGTTGATTTGAAGAAAATACAACATTTGTAGAGAAAAATAATAACTTTTATTCATCAACTTCTGATTATATAATCTGGTTTTATGATCTACAAACCTTTTTTTAAAAACAGGTAATTTTTGTAGCTTGTGTTTGGCACTGTATTAGTACTGAACTCTTTTGTATCTCTATTTTTTTATATTACTCAAAATGAATCAATGAATGTTCATTGCTTTTAGATACTGTAAGCAATAAGAATAATAAATATGTGAAGAGAGTGTTTAAAAACAATGCATATGCTGACTAAAGTATTCATGTAAGTGTGGCATGTGTTTTCTTCCTGTAGACACATTTAAAATAGCAAAAATCTAGAAGGGTAATTAAGATTTTACAGCGATTAAACTGTTAGAAAAGCAAGAATAAATTGCAATAATGGAGATTGAAGTTAGGATTTCCTGTTTGTTCGGGTTTTTTAAATAAACTTTTGTTCATTCTGTGGTATCATCTTCAGTTCTTTTTCACCCTTCTCCTTGTCTTTTGAAGTCCTCTGATTTTTCTGATCAAAGCGAAACTGCTGCTGACTATTTTAGTCGTTCCAACCGCAGGGGAAGCATTGTTTCCGATGCAGATGATGTCCAAGGTCTGAATAGTGTGAGTGTAATGCTTGTTGTTATACTGTGGTGAATACAGCAAACTTACTAATCATGGATTTTCTTTTCATACTCTGAAAGAGTAAATACTGTAAAAACATTCAGAGTTACTTAATGGCAAATGGGTTTGATGGGTTGGGACTGGTTTTTGTATAAAAATGTCTGGAGTCTGAATTTTTGAAAAGCATGCTGCTCTATTTATTTTAAAGAGGATTTTGCCTGTTGCTAGACGCATGTGATAAGTGTTAACACTTCACTTTTTTGTGTATGATAAGCTTAAGCACCTCTTACATGTAAAATGTTGAGGTATTTTTCTTAAGGAATTAACAATGCCTAGGTTTTTTGTGTATTTTTGGAATACTGCTACTTGGTTTAGTGACAAAAATAAATACGACTGTGCCCTTGTTAGTACGTTTTAGTGTTCATTCATCCAAGATGAGGTTTTGTCAGGATCCGTTACTGGAGCGTTCATTGTTGGCTATGCTCTTGTGCTGAATCCCAAGTCAATGCAGCATGTTACAGGAAAATTATCATGACAGTTTTCCTGTACATCCCTTTAGTCTGAACATTGTTTAAACCAAACCTACATTTTCTCTTTATTGTTGCTATAAATTCTAGAAATTCTTTTTACGTAGTCAAAACTTCTGTGTTCGATAGTGACAAACATAGGGAAATTTCTGTTCTTAGGTATGTCTTTGAAATAACAGGGTTGGCACAGGCAGTAGGAGGAGAGGTTGAGAGAACTGAGCTTATTTAGCTGGGCAAAGGGGGTGCTCCGTGGTGGTCAGCAACCTCCCAACTGCTTGATGAGGTAAGAGCCAAACTGTTCGTACCCATGCCAAGCAGTGCAACAAGGGGCAGCAGCCTCCCATGGCAGCTTAGGAGGTTCAGACTAGACACTGCGAGGAGCTCCACAGGGAGGTTAGTGTTGCACTCCAGCAGGTTGCAGCAAGGCTGGAGAACCTCCATCCTTGGGAGCTGGTGAGACTTAGCTAGGTAAAGCCACAGCTGACCTGGACTGTTGACAGCGGTTCCGCTTTGGATGGGAGGTTGGACTAAGTGACTGCTGGAGTACACCTACAACCAGTGTTTCTGTGATTCTGCATTTAGATGATTTTTATTCTTATAGTGCTATGTAACTTGTAATAAAGCAGGGTATTTATCATCTGTACGTGCTCAAAGCATGGGAGAGCAATCACTTCTCCAGTTTAAATGTTAGCTTTTTTCCTCTCTAATAAACCTGCTTTTCTGAAATTAATGCTTTGCTAAAAGAAAATGTGGAGGCTGAGACTAGCAATTATGCTACCTTCTCAGTTGCTTTTATCATCATCATCATCATTATTATGTATTATGTGATTCTAAATTTGTATTTTTATTTAAGTTACTCTAAATGGATACTTCACTTGGATTCTTCACATTATTTTATCATCACAGTGCTGACAAATATTTGCAATTTACAATTTCAGTGCATCATTGGACATGGTGAATTTGCCATGGAAATGCAGTGTTGCTTCTATAGAAACCACAATAGAAGGGGGGGGGTAAATAAAGATCTCGTAGAGTAACATTTGTTTCTACTGTGATTGTAGCAGACTTCCAAATCTCTTCTCCCTGGGCTGGGAGAAGAACAGGTATTCTCAGAGAAGCAGGGTATTTGAAATACCATGCTCAATATACCGTACTTGTTTTTGAAAATATGGCAACATTTTAAGGTCTTAATTTAATTCCACCTATTTTGATTCATAGAAATTTAGAAAATAGGGGGAATCTACAATATAATTTTGCAATATCAGATTTTCCTAAATAAGACGGGGGCATGGTAGTTCTCTAGTTTAGGCTTCAATACATAAAATATGAATTGAAATTATTTTGTAGACTGTTGTTAATTAGTACACTTTAGTTTTGGGATTTTACCCGAATTGGTTTTGTCCTGCTGTAATTGCAGATTTCACCAAAAAGATTGAAGTAACAAATGTGTTTTGTAATAACTAGGACATTCACACCGGTGTCACTGATTGTCTGAAGTGCACTTGCATGAAGCTTTGTGTTTGTTATGCCACCAAGTGTTGTAGTCACTACCCTGTTGAAATTTAAAATAGTGGAACATATTTTGTTGTTGAGTACTTTATTATTGGTAATGACTTTTTAAAAACTTTAAAAAAAAAAAAGTTTCTGACTTTTTCTTTACGAGCATTCATTTATTTTGCAGTTGAGGTAAAAACTGCTTTTTCAGGCTGAATATTTCTTTTCCTGTCTCGATCTGTGCTAACTTCTGAAATTTTTTTTCCATTGTTTCATTTTTTTGTTCTTAAATATTTCTCGGTATCTTTGAACAGAAGATGGTGATTCAGTAGTCCCTCATTGCAGAAGGTGTATTGTAATCACTTTTCCTTTTCTCTTTCAGCTGGAAGAAAAGAGTGAAAAATCACATTCAGAAATATTTTCAAGGGTAAGAGTTTTTAATTTAAAAATTATTGAAAGTCAGACATATTTTTTATCTCCAAAATTGATGCTTTGTGTCTTTTATTTTCCAAGGAAAGAATTCTATTCTTTAGTTTACTTTTAGCAAGTATTCATTTCTCTACAGAATTTATTTTCTGTGTGAGAAATATTTAGCAGCAAAGGTTGAATTTTAAGAAGCTAGGGCTATAATTTATATGCTAGATGCCACTGGAGACTTTCTTCTGAATCTTGGGTGGCAGAAATTATAATTTTTAGAAAAATTTTAAACTTCTGCAGTTTTTCAGCACTAACAGCCTCCTTATGAAAGTCTTCTGAACAGACGACTCAAATCTGTAATGTTATGATAACTGATAAGTCATCAAAGAGAAACCAAGATTTCACGAAGAAGAAACATAAGTGCTGGAAAATAATCAACGGAAATTATTGTCTATAAGCTAATATTAAGAAATGGTAAAAAGAAGGGAGAAAAGTATTCTATGGCTGTGAGGAAACTTATAAGAGTAATGTCCAGTATACCAGAAATGACAGTATGATTCCTGATGCAATGTTTTTTCCCATTTTAAGCCATCATCTCGCAATTCAGTAAGTGCGACTCCTCTGAGTGGCAGCTCATCTAGGAGAGGAAGTGGAGACACAAGCAGTTTGGTGGATCCTGATGCCTCCCTCAGTGAATTGCGGGTAAACTGCATTTTCAGAGAATTTAAAGCTAGTTTAAAATTGTATTTGTGGTTAGGAAGAATTTTTCTTTGCCACAGAACTTCTGGTTTCTTAATAGTATGAAAAAGTTATGAGGATTATCTTGGTAACTGTATTTGTCGTGTTCATAAATATTTATGGTGCTGTTTAGCTTATATTAAAATAAGACTTTGTTTATGTCAAATTTGAAACAGTTATGTCCTGTTTGAAGTGGCTTAGATTCAGGATATGAACAAAATCTTAATTTTCATCAAGTTCTTGTGAATTAATTAGAATTTCTGTGAATTATTGCAGGCTTTGGCATTTGACAGAAATACACATAAACCTTTTAATGCTTTTTCAGCTACAAGCTATTTCCCCATACTTCTTATGCAATGGTTCATTCCTATGTCCTGCAGGATATCTATGATCTTAAGGACCAGATACACGATGTAGAAGGGAGATACATGCAGGGACTTAAAGAACTAAAGGTATCAGGGCTCCTCCCATGCATGCATTCTGTATGGGTATTTTGGGGTAACAGAGATATCACTGGTTCCACTAACTATATAAGGCTTTACTAACAAGTTTTTAAATTTCTTCAAAGCATGTATCTAACTTTTAATGCATAGAGAACATCAGCTTAAATTTGTTATGTAAATTATTAAGATATGATTTAAATCTACATGAGATAGTATATGTTCATTATTTGGTTTCTGTTAAAATAGTATTAAACTTCCATGTTTTTAGCAGGTGTGTTCTGGTAAGATAATGAGAGGTTCAATTTATATTATTTTTTTTAGCAAATAAATGGATATTCAAAAGAATTACTATGTATTGAATGGAAAAGAAAGAAATGGGATATAGTTATGACAAAACTTACGAAATTAAGAATTAGTCTTTGAAGTTTCAACAAATACTACATCTTATAAAGCAAAATCAAAGTAATAATTTTAAAAGATGTGCTGAAATAAATCTATGCAGACGTATTGCTTGCAGGAGTAGATTAATTTTGTTTTAATCCATTGCCATTAAGAAATATTTTTTTTTATACTTATGGTTTGGTTTACATTCCCATTATCTTTGTCTAAATTATAGGTTGGTATTTTCAGCATTAGGTTGATGAGATTTGTCTGTATTTAGACATGGTTAAATTGGTATGTTTGCTTTTCTTTTGTAAGTTTTCACACAATTAATGGTTTGCAGTTAATTTAAAGTACAATTATTTTCCCCTCTTCTGCGTTGAAGGGAAACTAAATCGAATGATGTGGCTTACAAATCTTTTTCAGGATATTTGTTCTGTTTTCTTTCCTATTATTTAACTGTGAATGGTTCCATGTAAAAGTAGAGAGATCTTCCCTTATTTGTCTTATATCTGTAGAGAGACTGAATTTAATAAATGCTGCTTGTACTAGAGCATGTAACAGTGATGTATTTAACAGCTTCCTTCAATTTCCTTGATTAAACAATTTATTAGATGGTAAAGAGAAAATATGTCATTTGAGTTGTTCAGTGTAGCAAAAATTATTTCCTGTTTAAGGCTAAGTAACTTTGAATCTGATAGCCATATGCTCAAATGAAGTACGTCTTGTTTTAATCATAGTGCCATGTGAATATTAAAAGAACTTCAAAGAGCAGTAGATTACAAGATTATTAGAAGTAGCTATGATTGTACTAAATTTGAATAAAACATGAGATTGCTTCATACTTTCAGAAGAGATCTCACTCTCTCACTTTTGCCTGTTTGCTAGCATCTCATGATTACTGTTCTGAATCATTACTAATGCACTATTATTTATTGTAATCCACTACAGTTACCAAAGAGCACGGATGTGCAATAGACAGCAAGATCTTGATCTGTGCTTGGCTTACAAAATTGAATTGCATTTTATGCTATTGTTAATACTGAATAATATGTTCCTAAGTTAATTTGCCTTCCACAGAGATTCTTTCAAGAACCCTTCTTTCTAATTAGGAAAGTATTGCCTTTTTAACTTCTGCTTTAGCAGTTTTGTTTTGTGTATGTTAGAAGAGTTACTAGGATATCTGCTTTTACACTTCTTTTAAGTGTTTTTTTCAGTGATGGAGTAACAGTAATTTGTAATCCCTCTACCTTCATGTCTCTGTGGCTGCCCATCTTTCGTGCTGCTAAGAGTGTGGTTTTTACCTGGCTACAAATCTGCTGGGTGTCAGCAGAATAAAGTCTAATGTGGGTAGTTCTGATTTAGTTAGGTCTTCAAATCTTTTCATGTCTCAGTTTGATTCAGTTTTGATGATTCTTTCTATATCCCCTTGCATCAACTAAGAAGGAATCCTTTTTCTTCCCTCAAAATTTTTCTTTTATGCAGTTAACAGAGCACTCTCTTGATGTCTGTTGGGTTTAATCATCTTGTTCTAGCTAAGTAGGCTAATTTGCATAGCCCTTTGGCTTTTCTGATAGAATTGTGGGTGGTATTTCTTCATAGCTTTAGGTTATGTTCAGAGCCTTATTACGCGTTTTCATTCCAGCCTGTTCCCACTGCTTCATCCTTAGGCATCCCACTGCCTCATTCAAGTGTTCCAGAAATTCTTCCAAATCCATATTATTTCCTCACTATACTGAAGATTACTGAAACTACATGGAATTTTTGAACCATAGGGAGCACGTATAATACTTTACTTGAAAAGAAGGAACAGTTCCAAAGAAGTCTTAGCAATGTTCCAGTTTTTTCACCTGGTTGGAGACTGTTAGGCATAGCTTGGTTTCTTTCTTATAAGCAATTCTCACTCTTCTGTGTCAAAATCAATTTATTTGTCTTCCATAACTGCAGATTTTTCCCTCATTAACTTGTTGATTAATGACATTTTAATCCAATTTTTAAGGCCCAACCTAGTCTCCTCTTTAAGGCTGGAGTCCCAGAGCACACGGCATACAATGAGAGGCTGAAACAACTGGATTTGATAAGTCTTGGGGGTGTTGGCAGCAGTATCATTGCTGTTTTCAGCTACCTGATAGGAGGCTGTAGAGAAGACCAGGCAGACTCCTTTCAGAGGTGCACAGTGACAGGGCAAGATGCAACAGACAAAAATTGCATTGCAAGGGCAGAAATTCCAATTAGACCTTAAGAAAAAGACTTTTCACAACGAAGGCAGTTAAACACTGCTACAGATCCTCCAGCCGAGTTCTGCAATCTACATCCCTGGAGACACTTAAACCGAACTGGAGGTGAGCTGTGAGCAGCCTGATCTTGGCTGTCCAGATTTAATTAGGGGGTTGGACCAGATCTTTATCAGAGATCTTTGCCAACCTAAATTACTACATGACTCCACCCACCACACTTGCAGAAGCAATCAAATTGGAATTTTTGTCTTAGTTGTACTTTTTGTTAAATTCTGTATCTACCCATAAAAGGACTGTAGCATCCATTTTAATCCTAGTATTTTCCTTTTTTCCTCTAAATTGAATCATTTTTTGAAAGTCTTTTGCTGTCTCTGATGTTTTGTTTTACCAATCTTTACAAGATTTGTCGTGTTTGTACCATCACAAAAAATGTTTTCAGTGGTTTTAATCTTAAGAATTACTTGAATGCACTTAGATGTGTCTTGTCTCTTCTGATCTGTAGTGTATCAGGATACGTCTTCAGTTATTTTTTTTCTGAGGTTTCTAAAATACTGTATCTCTCCAGCACAAAATCCCAGAATTCAGTGACTGGAACAGAGAGGTATAAATACATGTGATTATGATAAAATTATAAAAGGTAAAATACGTACTTTAAGGGCAGCTTTCTCAAAATGGAGATTTATAACGTGGAATAGTCTTTGGGGGTTGTGCTTTTTTTGTTTTCTTATAATGGAATATTGAACTGAGACTTGGTATCTCTAAAGAGAAGACATGAATGTAATTCAGAAACAAAAATGATTGCGTAATTTTACTGTATAACAGATATAAATCTTCAGTGTTTTCTTAGGAAACTTAGATTGTTACGATCTTCTCCCCTAATATCTTAGTCCTATTCTGTTTTCTGGAAAACCCAAGCCTGATGCCCTTCCTGTGCTTGCACTTCTGCTGTCATAGTACAAATAACTAAAAATGGAGGTTATGCTACTTATGCCTTCAAAGAACAGATTACATGAAATACTAGGGGATTTGTAGTAGGGCACAGATGTACTTTGGAAAGGGAGTGGTTTAATAGTTCTTTTTCGATTCTAAAATTAAGACTCTGTGAAATTCACTCTGAATGAAACTCAATTTTTTTGTATTTTTAAAAGAATGTGTATTGAAATCATTGCATATTTACAAGTGCCTGGAGTGATAGTTGTCCTAGTATTTGAATAGTTGACATTTGTTACAATACTGAGAAAAAAAAATAATAGGATAAAACCATTTTGGTAAATGTGAGAGAGTTGCATAAGAGGGTATATAGCAAGGCATATGTGCACCTTCAGATAGAGAATCAAACATACGAATCTTTACATGTTTGGGGTTTTTTTTTTTAAATCTTAGCAAGAAATAGAAAGACAAAATGTCTGCCTAAGCAGAGTATCATTGTTACTGAAAAAATATGACTACCTTAAAACTTTGAATCTGAGGTAACAGAGCACTACTTAAATAACAAGCATTAAGTTAAAGCTACTTAGAGATATTTCTGTGGTCTTTTTTAGTCACTTAATTGTCTGAGTTCTCTCTGACAGGTTTGTTGCATCCTCATTCTGAAGCGTTCTCTCATGCATGCACTGCAAATACAATAAAGCTGTGATATTACTACTTTATCCTTGTGAGTTAAGTTGTGAAGGTGGCAGAGTAGAAAATGCAAGTGGAATATTATCTTGTAATTTTCATACTTTTGTAACGATAACTTTTCATTACTGCGTATGACCTAACCTGAATAATGGAAATTGAACTGTGACTTGATATCTGTAAAGGGAAGACATGAATATAGTTCTGAAACAAAAATAGTTCTGTAACTTTACTGCGTAACAGCACTCTGCAGTGTTACAGTGATATTTTAACATTATAACTGCATCAAAAAGTTAGACTAATACAAGCCTTTCTACTGTCTATATAGGATTCGCTAGCTGAAGTTGAAGAGAAGTACAAGAAAGCTATGGTCTCCAATGCTCAACTAGACAATGAGAAAAACAACTTGGTTTACCAAGTAGATACTCTAAAGGATGTCATCGAGGAGAAAGAAGAACAAATAGCAGAGTTTTATAGGGAGAATGAAGAGAAGTCAAAGGTACTGATTTTTAAGACTTTTTTTTTTTTTTTCCTAATTATAAAGATAAACCAAAGAAGCCTGGACTACTTAGTTAGAACAGTTGAAGACTTTTGTAGTAGAAAAGTCTATCTCTTTGTCACCAAAGGTGTTGTGTTGGTTTTTTCCAAAAAAAAAAAAAGCAACAAACCCCACAAACAAAAAAACCACTAAGGATAAAATACGCATTTAAATCGAATAAGACATGTTCAACCCCACTTTCTTGGAAAGTGAAGATGTGTGTGGTAGCTTTTTCCAGCAATATTTAGATAAATTCAGTATCTGAGCTTTTCTCATTAATACTGTGCTTAAGCCTTTACAGCATCTTTTGTCTCTACTCCACATTTTATTAAAAAAAATCTCCTTTATAGTAAGTATCTGGAGAACTTAACTAAAACACTGATTCTGTGATTTTTTTTTTTTTTTTTTTTACCCCCCCGGTAGGTAGAATCTCTCAAATTGTCACAGTAACTTCTTAGATAATACTATGTTAAGTGATATTGCTAACTTTTTTAAACTTTATACTGAAAATGAGTGTCAAACCCAAAATAAATAACAATAAATCATTTATTTAATATAGGAATTGGAAAGACAGAAACACACATGCAGTGTTCTGCAGCATAAGCTGGATGAACTTAAAGAGGCCCTTCGGCAGAGGGATGAATTGATAGAGGTATGTTCATATGAGATAGTGTAAGATAGAACTTGCGCAGATAAATACAGTATAAGATTTGAATGGGAACAGCCATCATACAAAATCAGCTTAAATATTATCTTGCATTTTTAAGAAAGAATTTATCTTGGTTTGATGGGTAGAATTTAAGCTATCAATCTCTAGATTTATAAAGTTGAAAATATCTCTGCAAGGTTTTCAAATGTGTTACATCTTGTAAAATCCTTAATTCCTGTGAGAATCGCGGTTCTCATGAATGTTCCTTGTATCTTTTCTTACTTGTGAGGGGAGAACTAATGTTCGTATGGCCAAAATTTTTTTGCGTAACCAGAAGTTCTGATCAATGGATAATACCAAATGTTATTCTTTGCCTTTCCAAAAAGTTTCCATTTCAGTTATTTCAGATATTTGTGAGCGTTGACCACTGAAATTTGCAGTAGTGAATGTTTGTTTGCTTACCAGTCAAGCACAAATATAGCAACACTGGTCAGCATGTTCTTGGGTCCTAACCATGTTGCTGGGTGTGTGATATGTTCTTTTCCCCTCTCACCCCCCCCACCCCTTCCTCACCCTTTTCTTCTGGAAACAAATCAATATGCACTGAAATCCCAGAGCTATTATCAGTCTTCATTTCAAAATGGTCCACAGAGATAAGTATTGTCAACGATATGTGGGTGTTCATTTCCCATTGATTTGAATTCTAGCTCTGGAAGTCATAGTTCAATTAATACATCATTTTCCCACCACCTTTTGGTTTCAGTAAAAATTGATGATCTTTGAGTGTATGGGCCAAAGTTGCCACTACTTGATTTTCAAAAGCTATATAATGTTGCATTTAACTGATCAATTTCTTTCCCCACTAAGTTCTTGTGCTCTCCAGGTAGTAGTACAGTAACTCCAGAAGACTTCTGAAAAGTCCCAGATCTGTTATGATTACTGAGAAAATAATATGCATCATGAACTGGAGTTGATATGACTTACTAGCAGAAGAAAAGGACTAAGATTAGTTTAAGTAGCAGCATTTTGTGGCAGATTAAGGCTGACAAGCAAAAAACTTCACAAATTCTGGTTGTAGCTCTGTCTCTTGCTCTGGATTCTGTTTGACTTCACTTCATAATTTCTTCTTTCGTTCTTGTTTATTTGGTGGTTTTTTGTGGTTGGTTTTTTTTAATGTGAATCAAGAATATACAATAAATTTGTCTGGAGTGCATGCTTTGGTAGAATGTAGCATATGTGTTGAATAGTCACCAAATGCATGCAGTCCATTCAAAGATTTGACTCGTATTTACCATTTATTTGAGTAACTTCTCCATCTGTTATCACTAACAGAAAACCTAGCTGAAGCCATTTAGCTTTTTGCAGAAAGACTTTGTCTTAAATTCTCAGATGTAAAATCGAGTTCAGTCATTAGGAGGGCAAAAAATTGTCTCTAGCTCTAAAAATTCTTCTGTCATCTTCATACATAATTACATGAGCATAGCAAAGAATTTTAGTTATGTTTGTAGGCCAAGCAGCAAAATAAGGTGTTAGATAAAAAATAGGACCACACTTGTTATGTGTTAATATAGTATCAAAAAGCAGTCAGCAGCTGTATTTCATTTCCTGGATGCTTGATTCAAACTTCCTTCTTTATACTTTCAAGAAGACTTTCTATTTTGTAAAACATTAATAAAACCACTTGTTAACATTAGTGTTCACTTCCAAATGGGACTTGAAGGTATCTGGAAATTACAAGAGGGTAATTATTTTCCTATAGAAAGGATGTTATCCCCTGTCTGCAGTGGGAACTGTTACTAAGGAAAAGTAGCTCTAGCTGCACTAAATTCTCCCATCAACATTGATTGAATAAAATTAATTAAATTTTTCTTGCATTAATTTGTAAGGAATACATTATGTTAAGTTGCACTCTTTTTCCTTAACTTCATGCTCATAAACTCTTTGGTTGACTTTTAGTACTTAATTTCCTTTATCTATTTGAATGTGTTTTTTTTCCATTTCCTTACTTCTCTTTCCTCTTTTATTCTTCCCTCATGCTATTTACTACAGGAGAATCAACGCATGCAGCAGAATATAGACTCCATAACCAAAGAGGTGTTTGATCTCCAGGAGACAATTAATTGGAAAGATAAAAAAATAGGGGTATGAATCAAATATGGGGGGAAAGGTGTTTTTTCATTTTAGAAGCAGATGGATGCCCCCCACACCCCAGGGAATGCTGTGTACTCCAAAGAAATGAAGGCCACTCCCAATTTAAATATTTAGAATATTTTGCAATCTTTCTCTTCTTCAGAAAATGAGCCAATTAAATTTATAACAAACTGTTATGCATACAACTTTATATTTTTTTACAAAAGTATTTTTTACTGGTATTCAGGGCTTGAAAAAGTAACCATTTCCTTATTCTTAACAAAGGTAAGAATGGCCTGGATCAGTATATTGATCCATAGTGACATAGCAATAATGTAACTTCATACAGATTTGAAATTGTTTTTAAAGCTTTTAATCTCCTTAGAGGCAAATACCATTTTCAGAACTTGAACAGTTCAAAACGTGCTCACCATTTGACTTCTGCCTCTGTCATCATCTTTACAGTTTGCATAAGAATTGGTGGATTTTAAAATGGTCTGCTTTACACTACCTGGGATAAGAGAGACGAAATACCTAAGTAATGGGAAACCTAGAGAGGTGCAGGAGCTAAGGGTCAAAATATAGAGAAACCTCAGTGAAAATTTGTAGATTGTGCTTCAATTTGGCATACCTAGTGCTAAAAATTACGATTTTGAATTTACTTCTGCAGCCAACTTGCACTTTCCTGTATTGCACTTCTGATCCTTCAAGGGCTCGTTAGCTTGAATGCAACGCTGAACCAAGCTGATTTTGTGATACCACACAAAAAGTTCCACAGTTACCAACTACTGGAGTTGAGAGTTGGAATCAAAACAGTGTTTGTGTGGGACCTTTTCAGGAGCATCTGTCGGGCTCCTGTATAGGAAGGAAGGTGGTACGGGTAGAACTGTGTTGATACTTACTACGCAGCTAATGCAGGTCAGGCAGGGTTTGTCAGCTTTGCTTCTGGGCAGCACAGAAGTGGTAAAACTGGCTGAGTGAGCTTGATCCTCAGTGATAGCTGCGTGGCTCTGAACTTGAGCCTGTTCTGGGCCACAAGTAGATTGCCTGGTGGAGAGAGGGAGTTAACTGGAACGGCTGCTGCTTAGTAACTTGAGGGTCATTTCTCTCTAACTGAGTTTTATACCAGATTTTGACAGAAGCAGATTTCTTTGAAAATTGCTGTATTTGCTGAAGTTCAAGTCACTTTGAAAAGTTAGCTTTTAACTGATGGTGCCCAGTTAAAAAAAAGCCCTGTTACACTGTCTCTTTTCAATCCATGTTTGTTTCATGTTTCAGCCCTTCAATCCATATTTCAATCTTCTCTTCCATCATAAAATAATATTTCAACATTTTTAATTTTTTTCTGAAAACTTTTTTTTGTCCTAACCATATTCTTTCCATACTTACTCTTCAATTTTGTGTATTGGACTGTCTCAATTTGTGCAATTTTTTTGTGCAAGCACTTTTTTCTCTTTCAAATATATTGCCAGAGTTAGTACAGAGCATATCATTTATCTAATGCTCAAAAAAATAGCTACCAGCCAGATTGACAAGAAAGATTTTTTCCTTTAGCGAAAATTCTCCTGCCAGTTCTTGTAAACACCATAACTAGATTTTTTTTCCTAGTTTTATTCTTTTACCATCTCGGAATGGAATTCTCCTAGTTCTTAAAATATAAAAATGCTGCTGTCTTTTCTTTCTCACTTCTGTTATCTAAAAGCATTTAGACGCTTTTCTTAGCTCAGAGTTTTTTGAGTCTTTCTTGCCAATACTATGTAGCTTTGCTAATTTTTACTCCATTCCGACTTCAGAAATCTCTGAGAAGCTTCACAAAGGAGTACTTTATTACTGGAATCGTAATCTAGTTTTACAATGTATGCAAGACTGATGTTGCCTCAGAGGAAGAAAGGGAGGCAAGCAGAACAGAAATAGCATGAGTTTGTTTAACACCTGGCTTCTTATATTGTCCTGTTTCTACAAAGTAATTGAAATTTGCAGTTGTATTTGATCTTAAATTAGATCAATTTGAGGACACTGAACTATAACTTCCAGGTTATATTCCTCAAATATACAGCTATTTTACTGTTTGATGGCTCCAAATTGCATGTGCATTACCAATTTGAAATTAGCAATGGTGTGTCTTAAGTTTTTAGTATAGATTTCATTTAAGGTTTTTGGAATATTTAGAAAATAGGACCCCAGACAAATCTGCTTTCTGCCAAATGATCAGATTATAATCATACTGGTATGTTGAAACATTCCTGCAGAGCTTTGTTGTCCTAACTCCTGCCCCATGCCCCAAGAGAAGAATTGCAGAAGTAGATTTACTTTGAAATCCGTGTCATATAATCCCTAGGCATACAAACACAAGCAGTTTTACTAAAGTTTTTCAACATTGAATAATGATTACTAATCTCCCCATAGGTTCAGATACATGGTTAAATCAGTTTCACTTCCTTCCCCATCAAAATTTTCTGATTTCCAATACTTGTGCATAGGGGGTGAGGATAGAAAGGACGTTTGGGGAAGATCAGCAGCATCGCAGGGCACTGCCAAGCACACGGGGTCTGTGTCTGCAGTGTGATTCTGCACCTCTGTATCCATTCTCTCAATGGGTGAGCTTACTTCCCCCTCCATCTCTGCCACTGTTCTTCAGAAATGGCAAAGGTTTATGTATCTGTAGTGGAACGCAAAATGATGTAAAGATTAAGGTTCTTCACACTGTTTACAATGTAGTTAGAGATCTAGTATGTGTTAGGAAATACAAGGACATCTCATGGATTCTTAAACTATGATGGGACAGCTGATGTTTTCACACATGTTGAATTACCTGTATTTCAAATGTTACATTTACATACTAATAAATCAAGTGCAACAACAGTCCTTGAATTTTTCTGTTGAAATTAAGAGTAATGCATTAAAACATTGCTCTAGTATACAGATTCTAGACAATTATTAAAATTGAGCCTATGGCAATTGTTGTGTGAGGCAATTGCAGTACAAATGTATACACCTTAATTTCTTTCTTGGTATCAGTCCATTCCTAAACATTCATGCATGACATAAGATTTAGTTGAATAATTTTCTTGGCAAAATGTGTGTACACTTTTGCAGTTGCTGTATGGTCAGGATTATTTGTAATGCACACAGTATTGAATTTAAATGGAATACTGGGATGCTGCCCAGTCAAGTGTGAGTAACTGCCAGGTAACACAGCTCCAGCATAGGTAGGCAAACCCTTCTACGTCCGTATTGCACTTTTAGCTGCAATCCTTTTTTGTGCTAGAATAGTGCTGCTAGTGCTTGCTCCTTTTTTTTTCCCCCTCTGTAACTGATTACTTTGGGTTTAGTAAAGGGTGGTTCTAATACTTCAGCAAGTAGTAAATAAACTAGGATTTATAAGTGGATGACAGGCTTATATATCCAAGGTCTTTTATGAGGTAAAATTTCCACTTCTATACCCTGTAAAAGGTAGAGAAATTAGTTCAGTGGATGTAATATTTTAGGACCTTTGCCAATTGAATTTCAGAAGATTTTATTTCCAGCTACAGAGTGCCTGTACTAAAAAGAATCCCTTCCTCTTTCAGTATTCAATTTAGTTTATCAAAATCTACCAAAAATAAAATCAACTAAATAAAAATCTACTATAGAATCTACTAAAACTCACCTGGGAAAAAATTATGTCATGACAAACATGCACCAAAGAGGCTAGATATGTGACTTGTAAAAGGTAGTTATCAGAGATGTATGTTTATATATATATTAAATACCCCTTTAAATTTCTTTACTTTTATTGAGCTCTTTGTATTTACTTGTAGAAAATCTCTCTACTGTCTGTCATGTGCTTTTTCTCTGTGCCATTCTTTTTCTTGCTATCTGCCTGAACCCAGGCCCTAGAAAGACAGAAAGATTACTTTGACTGCATTAAGAATGAGCGAGATGAGCTCAGAGAGGAGTTGACTGACCTGAAGGAAACAATGAAGAGAGGAGAGGTATGTTGGTAGTAGTTACTCTACAGTAACAGAATTCTAGGAATGGGGCGTGAAATCAAGGTCAATGAAAAAGAGGAAGAATGGTTACTATTCTTGTGCAGTCTCAAAACCTGTCCTTAGGGTAGGATAAATAATGCATTTCATTGTAACTATTTCAATCAATTTGAAAAGCTTTTTAAAAATTTTTCTGTCCAATTATATCTTTGCACTGCTCTTGTATAAATAGCTTATTTTCTTTTGTATTTTTAGAAACATGGATTAGTTATAATTCCAGATGGCACACCGAATGGTGATGTAAACCATGAATCAGTGGTTGGTGCAATAACAGTTGTATCACAGGAAGCTGCTCAAGTCTTGGAATCCGCTGGAGAAGGACCACTAGGTAAAAATATCCTAACGTACTTTATGGAGTGTTTGAAGTCTTTGTTTCCTGTGGGTTTCCTGAAGTCTCCTGTTCACAGTGGGTTGTGATTTACAGCCCCAAAAAGATAACTGTGATGCTTCTGGAATACATGCTTACTCAACTTTCAAGATTGTGATTTTTTTTTTAAATTTTTTTTTTTTTAATGCTAAGTAAAGACAGACGTCTCTTGAGTAAAAAAACAACTAGAATGTGTTTGGATGTTTGTAACTGATTAGATCTCTTGGTCCAGTTTCTGTTTTATTACTGTCAGAAAATATCTTGCCTAAAAGTTTAGTCTTTTGGATTAGTATATTTTCCATTGTGTTTTATGAAAAAAAAAAAGTTCTTTAAAAGTATGTATAATCAATGAAAAAACTTCCATTATAGAAAACAATGCATTGTATATTCTTTCCTCTTCCTTGAATTGCCTCTGCCTTTGTTAGTGTAAAGCAAGTGCACTCTTCATCACATTGAGTAGAAAACAAAAAGTTTTTAAAACATTCAAAAAAAAATGACACAGATAACAGAAAGATACAGGTTTTGAGGTCTTTATTTTAACTTGCTTTTATCCTTTAGGTTGAACAAGTTATTGTATGCATAGTCAATCCACTGTAAAGCACTGAACTCGGAGGTCTTGCTTTTAAAATTGTTATACTAATAAACAGTGTGAAGGAAGTATTTTTCCCATTTTTCTGCTATTAACTAAAGGCTGGTATGTTGTTATTAGTGAGATATCAAAGTTTTATGCTCCCAGTGCTATTAACTTTAAGTTCAAAGAGCATTTTATTTGAAAATGAACAGAAAGTTATGAAAAAGTATGTTCTTGGTTACAGATTTCTCTGGTTCTTAATTGGTTTCTTTGGTTTTAGATGTCCGGCTACGAAAACTGGCTGGAGAAAAGGAGGAATTATTGTCCCAGGTAAATTTAAGCTATTCTTTTCAGAAATAGACCTTTGTGTATCCTTTTGCAGACTGCTTGTGTATTAGCAATAAACAAATATTAAGCACCAAAAGTGCTTAATCAAATACTTAAGCACTAAAGCAAAATAAAATACTCAACGTCTTGCCTGGCTGGCTACCAGGAATTATCAGCTCCTCTCACTAGTGTCCTTATCCGTGTGACTTTGATCTTGGTTGCTAAAGAACCCTCATTTCACTAACTGGTTAGCTGACATCTAACTTGCTGCTGACTCACCTAATAGTGCACATACTTGTTCTTTCTTTTATTTTGTCTTATGCAGGAAAACTAAAGTCAGTAAAATTACATTCTCACAAGTTCAAGTGGCACTTCCTTCCAAATTGCACAGTGGTACTATTTGATCATTTCAGTTACTCAAATAGAAAATTTATGTTATCAAAGTAGTTCTGTTTTCATACAGGTCAGTATTGAGAAGAGAGGACTCAATAAAACATATAGCCATTGAACAACTGTTAAGAATGCAATAGTTTTTGTGCTTCTAGTTGAGCACATTGCAAATGTAAAGTAGTGGTGTCAACTTTTGGTTT